GGATTTAACATTAGATTTTTTACTCTTGTCCAGCCCATGATCAAACATAGCAAATGTTCGGCAGTACTGATTGCTTCCTTAAAGTAGAACAAGGTAGTCCTTGTATGGGGCCTCCACCAAAGTAACCACGCAATGTCTCGCATGCCACCAGAGATGGCTCCGTGTGCCGCCTGTGGCACGTATGCCATAGGTTCGCCACCACGGGCTTAGGGTGTTTCTGGGTCCTTCTAGATTGGGAACTATGTTCATTACTGCCTCAGGATGACCATGCCTTTATATCATAATTGCAGGGATGCAGCAATTTAAGATGAAAAGGGATGTGATTTGCCCCCTTATTCAGCCTGCCTGGCACTTTCCAAAGCTGGAAGAAACTTCTGTGCATGTGCAACCCATGCACAAAAGTCTTGCCTCATGTTGACAGTAGCTCACTGAAAACCTGTCCTTAGTATGGCAAGCAACATGATTATTTCATTTTTAAAAGCACACAGGGACCCATATTTTAATCCCACTTCAAGAAGTTCCTTTGCTTGAATGGTCAGAGCAAAGGACCTCCTCAAAGGCCCATACAAGCTTATTAAAAACCACTCTCATTTTTTCTTCTGAAGTGCCTTTAGACACATTGGATAAAACTTAGTCAGTGTTATAATTTGTTTATTTGCCTTGGCCATCTGTGGTGCTACAAAACCTCTCGAGCCATCTGACAGAATAAAAACAGAATAATCTTAACTGGTATGACTGCTACTTTAGATACTATGATTTTAAGTATGAACAAGTTACTGGTTTTATTTATTTATTGGATGCATTTAAAAAAGCAAAAAAAGGTTTTTTTAAAAAACCCAGAACAATAAAAACATAAGTAATAATTTGAAAAATGAGATAACCTCAGATTTATAGGTCCTTTTCAGACACTGTGGTTTTGGCTTCATGGTATAAAAGACAGGAAAAGAATAGACCTTTAAAATATTTTCTTTGTCTCCTGGATTTAACACTGCAGTTACGGACTTTTAAAAACCAGCTGCCTCTTTTATTTGAAACAAATTATTATGGTTCACTATTGATTTTGAGCCAATTTGATATGACTAGTAGCTCTTCGTAATGTTGAATAGTAATAGGTAAGATTAAAGTATCAAGGCTGTCACAAAGAGGAAAAGAGAACACATTTTACAGATACTGTAAACTGCTTGTTCCTGGCTTAATAAATTATTATTGCCATGAATGAATGTTTTGTTTGCCCAAATGACTTTAGATATTCCAAAGAAAGACATTGAAGCAATGACCAAAGAAATGATCTCCCTGTTGTCATTGTGCAAACTTGCTGCATGACCTAGACCAGGCCAACACAACATATGGCTTGCGGGCCACATGCAGTTTTGTGCAGCCAACCACATTTTTTTTTTTTTAACCAGTAAGCAAAACAGTAAATTTACAGGCACTGCTGCTGAGTACTTCCAAATTTTGCTGCTCTGCTAGCCACAGAACAGCTGATCAGTACTCCAGATATTTCTTCACAGCCCACAACGATTTTTAATTTATCAACATGGCCCATTCTGCAAGACAGGCTTAGACTTTAATTTCTGAGTAACTTGTCCAGGGAAACTTTGTCTTTTGGGTAGGACAGAGCCAGAATTTAAAATGTTTATATTTCCACGATTGAATTTCTAGGAGTTGTGTCCATTAGTCAGTACTGTGTGATTCCCCCAGCCCTTCCTTTTGTTAGGAAGCTGTTCCCTAAATAATGGGAGTTCACAGAGTTTGTGCTTAATCTGGTTCTTAGCCACATCTCTGTTTCTCAACAAGGAGCCCATCTATCTCTCTCTTCCAATCTCTGCAGAAACCACCTATATTCTTTAATCTCTGAACCCTGTGTTTGTTTGTTTTTTGTCCCTTGTGGCTTTGGCCAATTGTTTGTTTTATACAGATGTTTCTATATGTGTCTTTGAAAGGGTGACCAGTGCTTGAATAACTTAGTCCTTTCTGTTCTCTCTGGAAGTTGAGAAGAAGAAGAAGTTATAATGAGTGGGAAAGGACTTGATGGCTACAGTTGTCCATGTAAAGGACATTATGTTAACTTTAGTCTTCCTATTTTTAAAACATCCACAGAACACATAGTTAAAACTGATTTAGAAGAAGAATATGCAAATACTTTTGATGGTCTAAAGCAGTGATTCTCAACCTTTCTAATGCCGCGACCCCATAATACAGTTCCCCATGTTGTGGTGACCCCCAACCACTTATACATCACCGGGTGCCAGGGGCGTGGCCAAAGAAAAGGGGGAAAAATGGCGGACAGCTTTGTTTGGCGACCCCCGTGAAATGGTCGTTCGACCCCAAATGGGGTCCCGACCCACAGGTTGAGAACCACTGGTCTAAAGCTACTTTATTTTGTAATAATCCTTTTATATTTATAATGTTTAATCTTTGTCAATAATCTATTTGAAGTCTTTCTAAATTAAAGTAACAAACAAATAAAAATGTGCATGTGAAAAATATAGTTCCTATATGACTCTATCATATATGATATCCCCTTTTTATAAACAAAACAAACTATGATCGCTATATGCCAGCTGTGAAGAACGTATCTGCAGCATTTAGCCAGCCATGACTGATTTCAAAAAGATAAATAGTCAGCCTCAGTAGAACCTGGAAAGGTGACCACCAGGAAATCTCATGAAGGTAGAATAAATCAGAAGAAGGCAATGGCAAACTCTTCCTCTACTGTGCTTAAGAGAACTGCACGGCTTCCTCTATGTCATTGCCCGGAATCAAGGTCAACTAGAAGATCACTATTATTTTAATTACCACTTAGCTGAGAGGAAAGGGGCATTAAATGAAATTATCTGCCTCTGTATAGCCTTAAGGGACCACATTCTCCTCTACAATTTTCATTTTTTTCTGTCATTTATTCTAATATACGTCATGAAAAATCTTAATGTTTATTTTTGCAGAGCACAAAGTAAAGTGTGTACAATATTTAGCATTTATGGGGGCCATTGTTAGATATAAATCTAGAATATTTATACTGATGCCCAGAAGTTATCTTAAATTGTGGCAAGACTAAAAACAACTGTTTTCCGAAAGTTTTCTCCGTCACAGATAACCACAAGATTGTTCAGCTCAAGACAATTTGCCATATATCAGCAAGATATTATAAATCTCTGTTATCTCTTCTCTAAATTGGGATGTGAGATAGAAAAAGTTAGGGTTCTGATCAGAAACTCCTAGGTTGAATTCAGTAAATGCTCAGAAGTGCCTTTCTGCCTTAAATTCTAGAAGTATAGTTTCCATCTCCTTAGCTACTATTTTGGTATTATGATATTCTCTGGGTTCTTTACATAATAGAATCTATCTTCTCCTGGGTTCTGGACTTCCTTGGAACCAAGGAATGACAGTGTGTCTTTCCAGATGATTCTATCTGTAAACTCACATCAGGCATTCAGATTCCTGCCACCCACAAATGTGCATTATATTTCTTTCAGTCTTTTCTCCCTCTTGCTGTCGCATGCAGTACAGCACTTTGTGCAAACGCTACAGACTGAATGATTCAGTCCATCCACATGAATTCTCAAACCATCCTCTTATTGTAAAATGGAAATAATTTTCAGAAAACAGTATTCTGCTTTCCTGCTCATTGACCAAGGATCTTATAATTCCCGTTAACACTTCTGATAGTGCTATTTTGGCCACCTGGTCAGTCTTCTCAAACCCAATGGGGCCTACAAGCTATGCTGACTATATACAATGGGAGATTATATCTGGTGCCTCCCAAGACCACCAATTCTAACTCCTTTTTCCTAGTTCATTTGTGTTTATGAAAAGATTATAGTTATACTTAAGTGGCCTTCCCATGTGAATAACTGCTACTGGGTCAGCCTTGGAAGTGAAAGTTGAATTTGGTTAAAATGAATTGTGTTTGCTGGGGAAAAAGACAAAAAGCAGTATTTTTCTGCTGTGTAAGAAAGATGAAAAACAACATCAGGATTTCAGAAATCTATAGACTAGACTGGAAAGTTTAAAAAAAAACAACTTCCCAGACAAAGGCAGTGGCATATAACTGTCATATTATTGCCCCCAAAATTGCACAGACTTTGAAGAAGACTTATCTTTTATCAGTCCAAATTGTGATTTCAACAGAAGCCTTTGCCTGATGAAGTTCAACAGAAGAAAGGTTTGATCCTTAGATAACATATCCCATTGACTGACTTTCACATACTTTTTTCATTTAAATGAAACAAAGAGAAAGTAAAAAAAGCCTTTAGCTATGTTTGCCAACTTGCTACCAGGAAGCAAGGGAAACTCCCTTTGGGACTAGCATAAGAGTCAACCCAAAATATCTAGGTTGTTCTTTTTTGTAAAATATCTGCAGCAGATACAGATTCCCAGGCATAAATGTGGATAGCACTTCTGGCATATTTCTAGCAAAGATATCTTCTTACTTCATAGAGGGAGTAAGAGAATGATGATCTGCACTTTGAGTGATTTCCCTGAGCTGCCAGCTCTACCTGGCTCCTGTTTTTAAATGTTCTACTCACGATCATTTTGAAAGCTCCAGCTTGTTCCTCTTCCTCAACCTGGTGTTCTTTGTTTCAGTTTGGTATTTGTTGCAATGCTTTGAGTGTTGATATGCAGTAGTTTCCTTCGGAAGTATGTCCTGATTCTCATTCTTAGGTAAACATTAAGTGAAGCTAATTGCTGACACAAGGAAACTTTAATCCAAATTTCATCCACACCTTGTTTAAAAAAAGGCATTTTGGACAATCATTATATTCTAGAAATGAGCCTCCACTCATTTCACTGTCATTCTTGTGGTCTTCAAACTTTGCTATCTTTAGGTGGGGGTACATGACAATTTGAATGTCTTAAACTGTTGCCATAATTTTTCTATTACAAAGTGGATTCGTGTATAAGATGGATCTGTATCTGTAGTTGATTAATAGCTAAGCTATTGTATATCTATATTTGTTTGCTCTGCTAATTATTATTTTTTTCTTTTTCCAATGAAGCATTGACAGTAAGATTCATCACCAAGCGATTTATTGGTGATTATGACCCTACTCTAGGTAAGTTTAGTTACTTGCTCTGTCAAATCAGTGGATTAATTTGTACTTTTTGATGATCAACAGCAGTTACTGTTAATATTGGATCTCAGATCAAAAATATTTAGTGAGAAAACAGAGCCCTGGTTCAAAATCTCACCCCTCACCTCTCTAAATAGATCTAGAAAAGCCTGCTGCCTAAGGCCCAAAGAGCTATTGGCTGCCAATCATTGTCAATCATGCTGAGCTCGATAGACGCATTATACAAAATTCTTAATTTAAAGATGAAGTACATGTGTTTAATCAGGATTAGGTTTTTATAATATAAAATGGATTATTTGACAGATCTTATAGCAAATGTGATGCTATTTGTTACTATTTATTTCTCCTCTGTTAAAAATACCAAAGTGATATATAGCTTAATGAAAAAAACTAGAAACATCAAAAAAAATCATCAGTAAAATTACTTGGTATACTTTAGAAATCCAATTGAAGCAAGAGATGTGTTTGGTGACGAAAGCTGCAGAGACAGGATCAGTCAAATTTCACTAGGAGAGCATTCCAGATTTATGACCCCACCATAGAATTATCAGTATAATCAAACTACATATATAAGGTTGCTCTAGTGAGAGGGGTGGCATATACACTTGAGAAATAAAGTAATAAAATAAGTAATAAATAAATGCTAACTAGCCAGATCAAATGGTCAGTGATGATACTTGACTCTGCTGCCATCTTGCCTTCATTGGTCAAGTTTACATAACTTAGAACAACTTTCTGCAAACTTGGTGCCTTTCAGAGAGGTCAAAAGATAAATCTCTATCAAACCCTTGCCTTAGATCATGAGAGGAGGAATTCAACTCATTTGAAAGGTGCCAATTGGAGAAAGCTGTTATAGAAAGTACATATTTATAGGTCCAGTTAATTGAAGTTCAGGTGAATTGCAGTCCTGTAATTTAAAACTTGTCTCTTTGGATCAGGTGAGACTCTTACTTTATTTCACCTTTTGGTTTTGCTAAATGGCCAATCAGAGTGCTCCCAAAAAGAGACATATTCTTCTTCTCCTACCATTGTGCCCCTAATAGTAGTATTTGGGTATTTGGAAACTCGTGTCCCAAAGACAATTCTAAATCTTCAAGACTGAGAATCTTTGACAGACTTATCCACCATGAATTTACCCAGTTCCTATCACCATATCTTGTGGTAATGAATTCCATAGTTTAATTGTGTACTATGGAATTTCTCAATTTTCTGCATGCTTATATAATTTTATATGCTTTAATCACATCTCTCTTCAGTGGGTCTCCCCCCTCCCCCATGGTGTACAATCCCAAATATTGTAGCCATTTCTTTTAAGGGAGCTATCTGATCATTTTGGTTGCCCTCTTCTGCATTTTTTCCACCCTATTATATTTTTCAAATATCACAATGAGAATTATACACAGTATTTCAAATATTGTCATATTCATAAATCTCTTATAAAACCATTATACTGTTGGCAGTTTTATATTCAGTTCTTTTCCTAATGATCCCTAGCCTGGAATGTGCCTTCTTCACAGCTGCCACACACTGAGTCAACATCTTAATTGAATAATCTATTATGACTCCCCATCTATAATAGTAACAACAACAACTGGAACCCACTTGAACACCATCAGACTGACAAAATCACCATGAATTAATTGCAAAAGGCAGCTTTACTTGGAACAGCGTACATCCTGCAACATCAAACAACAACATCTCCCTATCCCAGTCCTTGGGAAGAAATTGATAAAAATGTCAAATCCAGTGTAAACACCTGGCTGACTGTGGGACTAATCATAATGATATAAATGTATGACTCCCTGACTCCCAACTACTCTTTTTCCTATATAGTTACAGTTTAAACTGTAAGAGTCCTGGTGGTGCAGTGATTAGAATGCATTATTGCAGGCTAATTCTGCCCATAGTCTGGAGTTTGATCCTGAAGGGCTCAAAGCTGACTCAGCCTTCCATCCTTCCAAAATCAGTAAAATGTGGACCCAGATTGTTGGAGACAATATTGTAAACTGCCCAGAGAGTGCTTTTCAACCTTTTCTCCCATTGTACCACTTTTAGGATATGGCAATATCCCGAGTACCACCAGTTGCGTAGCAAGGTATCAAAAACTTGATGACCAAAAATAAAAGGAAAAAAGTGATGAAGTACTGGTAGTTCTCGACTTACAACAGTTTGCCTAGTGATTGTTCAAAGTTATAATGGCACTGAAAAAAGTGCTGAGCAAGACACCTGCCTGCCCACCCAGTGGCGCTCTTCCTCCTGTCCGAGGTTTTCATTGTTGTGAGCATTTCTGTTGAGGATTGGCAGTGGGGGTGGGGTAGGGGCTGTTTGGTTTTTATTCCCCCCGTCTGCTGGGTGGTTGCAGCAGGTTTTGGTCACTTCACATGACCCTGGGTCATAAATATAAATCTGTTGCCAAGCATCTGAATGTAAATTACAAGACCCTGGAGATGCTGCAACATTCCAGCTGATCGGCACTTCTTCTGGGCTCAGCAGAAGCACCAGGATCAACGATGAGCTCCAGCTGGAGCCTGACATTGATCCTGGCGCTTCTGCTGAGCCCTGACAGCCCTGCTCCAGCCATCTCTCACTCAGGCTTGTGTGGTGCTGCCATCAATTCAGCTCATTCCCCTCCCCCGCTACCATTTTTCTAGGATGGTCGCGTTCCACCTGCCAGGTGCCAATGTACCACAGGTGGTACCCATACCACTGGTTGAAAAGCCTTGCTGTAAAGCACTATGAGGCGATATATAAGTCTAAGTGCTATTAGAATCCATCATTATATATGTGCAATTATCTTTCTTTGCCCCAATGTGCAATATTTACTGTATTTAAACCTTCATTGGTTGTTTTGGTTGATTATCCATCAGCTGAAAAGACCCTTCTAAAGCTCTTCGTGTTCCTTGTAGGTTTCACTGCTCTGAATCATCTAAAATCATGGCCAGCTCACTATTTATTCTAAATAGGGATCATTTATGGACTGTTGAAAAACATCAGTCCCAATACAGACCTTTGAAGGCCTCCACTCTTGCTTTCCTCCACTTAGAAAGCTGGTCGTGTATTCACATCTTTTGCTTTCTGTGTTTTAACCAGCTAGCAATTCATAATAGGATAGGTTCTGTTTTATTCCACAACAGATAAGCTAAGTTAGAAAACTCTGATGAGAAGCTTTGTCAAGACGTTATTGAAAAGTCATTCTATAATTTATTGGATCTTCACTTGGTCCTTTTTTTAAAAAAATAATAATGGTGTAACTCTGGCTACCTTCCAGCCTTTGGACACTAAGCCTAACTAGAAAGGCCATTTACGTATTGTTGCTGTGAGGTCAACAATTTCAAATGTGAATTCTTAAAAGAACAACTATTTTGGGGGGGATATCGTCAGGACCTAATGATTCATTACAATATTGCCTTGCAAGATGTCCTATAATTTTCTCAGCTTTCTTTGGTGGTTGGCAGTTTCTTCCCTGAAAAATTAGTGTAGAGTCAGGTCCACATCTTCTATAATAAAGGGTGATGCAACAAATCGAATGCTGTAGGGTGCTTATTTTAGCTCTGATTTTTGCACGATTAGGCTGTGATTATCATGTTTTCATTTAGCTTTCAGGCTAGCAGTCTTCTACCTATCTATGTTTTTTTTTCATTTTTTGCAGTGAATTTGAAAGTAATTCATAGAAAATTAGACTAATATTCATTGTGCCCTACTTTTCCCTCAATTTTACTTCCTTGCTTTGTTATAATCATGAAAGCATTCCTCAGAAAAGTAAAAGCTGCTCTTTAGATAACTATGCTGAATACAGTAAGGGTTCAGATATTTTAAATTTAGCAGCAAAGAAGCTTGCTGTGAAAACTGGAACATCTTCAGAGAGGTGCTTTAATTAACAATTAAAGGAAACATTGCTATATGGAAGGAAACATTGCTATATGGAAGTAGCAAGGCAAAATCCATGGCTGGAATTACAACATTTTGAGATGATTTTGATAGATATCTTTTCTAGGTAGAGAGCAACATTTTGTGAACTGTAAATCCCATGGCCTTCTCAGATAATTACTGAACATGTCTCCATTAGTTTTTTTAAAAAGAAATTGTCCTGCCTTGGGGTTGGGGGGACCCTAAGCACTTTTTTTTCTTTTTATCTTTTCTAGCTTGAAAGGACATATTCCTGAGTGGTGAACCCCACTGAATATTAAAGTGATAGAGACATATTTCTAAATAAACTTTCATCAAATATTTTTAGCATACCACACATTTAATTATTTGGAGGGTGCTAGGAATGTAATCTGAAATCTCTCCCCATTTTTTTTAGTAGTAATGAATAATTAGGAGGTAAAGAATAAAGCCAAAAGTGGATATTACGCTTAGGCAGAATATGGCAGTTCCCCTCCTTTATCCACACTCTTCAGTACAGTACCAGCCTCTTTGTTTGGAGGAAAAGAAGAATGCCTTTAGGGCCAAGATGAATGAATGTGACTTGTAGTGGCCTGGTCATGTGGAATTCAGAAGGCAGAGATGAGAATTCAATAAAGAACAAAGTGATTGGAAAGAAAGATGGCTTTGAGGCATGTTTTTTTTCTTAAGCAGGTAAACTTTCTGCCTTTCTCCTATTGAGTTCTGACAGGGCCTCATTTTATAGCACTATTGACATGCTTTCTTTTTAAGCCTATGGCAAACATTTCTGGTACCTTCACAGATTCTCCATGCTGAATGCAGAATTGCTTCACTGAAGCAAAAGGACAACTCAGTAGCTCGTTACATTTTTGCAGTCACATTTCTACCCATCATCACTGCTGTTATGGTGCACCAGTGATGGTAGGATGAGAACTGGTGCTCCATCCTCACCTAACATACTTTGCTGTCTCCTTTATCGCCTCCATATTCTGCATTTCCATCCACAAGATGGGGCCTCCTTTTGCTTTTTTTCCTCCTTATGAATACCAGAGGGATTTATGTGCAGTTTTATTGCTCTTATGTCTTCATATCAAACCACTTGCAGAATGATTTCCCAGATGTTTCCTTACTCAGTTTTGCACTTTTCATGCTCTAAACCTAGTCCTTTATGAACAGTGGCTACCCATTCCTCTTTTCCCCCTCTATTTAGCTTCCTTCAATTATGTCTGAACCCTTATTTCCATAATATATAAACATGATGCTATGGTTGTGTTTCTCCAGTACTATTTGTGCCTACATTTGGGTGAATTCTCAGGAATGTCACCAGCACCTCCTCAAGCCATGGTATTCCCATGCTATGTTGTTCTCTCATTCAGCATAAGGCTATATAATTCGTTTAGGCTGAGGACTACACTTGACATTTGAATGGTACGTTAATATTAATAATAGCAGCCTGGCCAGGACAAAACATAAATTATACTAAATTAAATAAATCTCTAAATGAGTTAAATACATTTAATATGATTTGAGTCATGTATTTAAAATAACTTAATGGAAACAGTTAGAGGACATCTGGAGGCCATGTCAGGTATTTTTTAAAAAAATATAAAGGTAGAAGTTTTTATTATGACATTGTTCTGTCTGTGCAACTCTTCCTAAGTCTCACTAGTTTAAGTATACAGCTAAACCTGTGGTAAAAAAGACCACTTCTTTGTCCAGTAAGCTTTATCATCTGATGATTTGTATTTTTGTATAGTACCATAAATATACCAAAGATTATTGTATCAAAGTGTTAGAAATGTCTAGAAATATGCAATCCTAAGACTTATTAAAGGCCAAATGTATCTTTAGGATTAGCCTTCTCCCACTTGATGCCCATCAGATGTGTTTGACTACAATGCCTATCATGTCTCAGATAACTTGGGAGTAAAGAAAGGTTGTTCAACACTTCTGGAGACAGACTGTCAAAGACTTCTTGTGGAATAAAAAAAGAGTTATTTTTAAGTTTGCTTTCTCACACAATGTTTCTGTTCTACAGAGATGATTTACAGGCACACAGCAGTCATAGATGGAGAGATGGTTCATTTTGAAATTCTTGACACAGCAGGGCAGGTATGGTTTTAGTGGCTTCATTGTTAAAAAAAAGTGGGGGGAATGGTACTGTAGAAATGGAAAAGCACTGCAATGGGCACTGAAAATGTCAAGGGGCAGGAGCAATTCCCTTGTAAGAAAAGTTACACCTTTGGCCTATGTGGGAGGGAGGTATGGATCACTCTTTCTCTGAACATTAATGAATCAGAAATGAATACAGTATGTGACAAATTAAAGGAATATAGATAGACCAGAACTATCACCAAAACTGAACACTTTAATAACAGAATAATCAGAGAAGTCATCGAGAAAGAAAAATGCCCACATAGCATGAATAAACGAGATGATACCTCCACCTACCAGCCATTTGGAAACCCGCCCTTATTGACAAACGAGTCACTAACACAAAGAATGACACCAGACCCACACTCACGAAAACCACACAGGATGTCACCACCACACATCCACGCAAAAAGCAAACCCAAACCCACACCGATGATGAGGCACAACCACAAACCAGAAGCCAGACCACAGCTGGATCATTAGCCACTTTAAACCCCTCCAATCCATACATGAAGCAAACTGACACCTACCATGAAGATGAGGCACGACCACGAACGCGAAGCCAAACAACAGCAATGCAGCTCACTATCTCAAATCCCCCTGCAACTCAGACTAACCCGAGCACAACAAAGCCCCCACCCAAACAGAACACTCCCCCATCCAATCAGAGCACAGCCACCCCCCCATCCAATCAGAGCACAGCCAAGCTCCTAACCAATCAGAACACACCTCCACCCAATCAGAACACAGCCAAGCTCCCACCTAATCAGTTCATACCCCCACTGGCTGTTAAAAGGAGGAGACAGCTACGATCACACATTGCTCCTAGAAGCACGAAGCCGAAAACACCAGCATGAAGATGATGAATGGGACTTCGTCGAAACGTCACCAAGACACTTCCAATTTTACATGGGAGAAAACCCGAATAACCGAAGACCTACACACACACACACACACACACACACACACACACACACACACACACATATATATATATATATATGTAGGTCTTTGGTTGTTCGGGTTTTCTCCCGCATAAAATTGGAAGTGTCTTGGCAACGTTTCGACGAAGTCTCATTCGTCATCTTCAGGCTGGTGTTTTCAGCTTCGTGCTTTGAGCAGCAATGTGTGGTCTTAGCTGTTTCTTCCTTTTAACTGCCAGTGGGGGTATGAACTGATTGGGTGGGAGCTTGGCTGTGTTCTGATTGGGTGGAGGTGTGTTCTGAATGGTTAGGGGCTTGGCTGTGCTCTGATTGGCTGGGGGAGTGTTCTGTTTGGTTGTGCTCAGGTTAGTCTGAGTTGCAGAGGGGTTTAAGATTTTGGGCTGCCTTGCTATTTTTTGGCTTCGCGTTCGTGGTCGTGTCTCCTCTTCATGGAGGGTGTCAGTTTGCTTCATGTATGGATTGGAGGGGTTTAAAGTGGCTAATGATGCAGCTGTGGTCTGGCTTCTGGTTTGTGGTCGTGCCTCGTCATCGGTGTGGCTTTGGGTTTGTTTTTTGCGTGGATGTGTGGTGGTGACCTCCTGTGTGGTTTTTGTGAGTGTGGGTCTGGTATCATTTTTTGTGTTAGGGAGTCGTTTGTCAATAAGGGCGGGTTTCCAAATGGCTGGTAGGCAGGAGGTATCATCTTGCTTGTTCATGCTGTGTGGGCGTTTTTCTATCTCGATGGCTTCTCCGATTATTCTGTTATTAAAATGTTCACTTTTGGAATGGTTCTGGTATTTTTAAAGTCAATTTCATGTCCTGTGGCTTTAAGGTGTTGGACCAGGGAAGATGTTGGTTCCTCTTTTTTGACTGAGTTCTTATGTTCTTCAATGCGTGCACATCTGACTACCAAACCAAATTAACCAACCTACTCCAAGACTCCACATACAAACCCCTAAATACAGATCCCACCCACCTACCTGGAAAAAACCACCAGATCCAAAATAAAAACCTCCCCCATTAGCGAAGTGATCCAGCAAAGAATCATTCCCAGAGAGAAATCATCCAGATGCCCCAAACTCTATGGTCTCCCCAAGATACACAAAAAAGGAACCCCACTCAGACCTATAGTCAGCTCCATAGGCTCACCTCTACAAAACCTAGCCAAATATCTCGCCAAACAACTACAGCCCTATGCAGAATCCATCACCTCACACGTAAAAAAACTCATTCCAGTTTATAGAGATCATAAAGAAACAAAACTTACAGCCCAGCGACCTACTAGTGAGCTTCGATGTCATATCCCTCTTCACCCAAGTGCCTATCAAAGAAGCCTTGACAGCTATTCAAAACAAATATAACCCCCCCAAACACATCTTAGATCTGACCAACCACTGCCTATCCAACACATACTTCATCTATAATGGACAAAAATACAAACAAACAGAAGGAGCACCCATGGGATCACCCCTCTCACCTGTCATTGCCAACCTCTACATGGAACACTTTGAAACCCAAGCTCTAGAAAAATCGGATCACAAACCCAAACTCTGGCTCAGATACGTAGACGACACCTTCATAATCTGGCCACATGGGAAAGAAAAACTGGACAACTTCCTCACACACCTCAACAGCCTACACCCCAAAATACAGTTCACCATGGAAACAGAAGCTAACAACCAACTTCCCTTCCTGGATGTCTTAGTCTACAAGAAATCCAATGGCTCCCTAGGACACACCATCTACCAGAAGAAAACACACACAAACCGCTATCTGCATGCTCTCTCACACCACCACCCAGCACAGATCAACTCTGTAGCCAAGACACTCATCTCCAGAACAAAACGCTTAGCTGACGAACAACACCTAAAACCCGAACTACACACTCTCACCAATGTACTAACATCCAATGGATTCCATAGAAATAAGATTACAAACCTAATCCAAAAAGAAACCCCAACTAAAATCCAAGACAAAGAACAAGAAAACGGCAAAGCCCTCCTCCCATACATAAAAGGCACCACAGACAGAATCAGTAAGATCCTCCATAAACACAACATCAAAACAGCATTCTGCACAAACAGAAAAATATCCACCATCCTTAGAAACCCCAAAGATAAAATTGAATTAGAAAATCAAGGAGTATACGAAATCCCATGCACCACTTGTCCCACCACATACATCGGACAAACCAACAGAAGAATAAGTGCACGCATTGAAGAACATAAGAACTCAGTCAAAAAAGAGGAACCAACATCTTCCCTGGTCCAACACCTTAAAGCCACAGGACATGAAATTGACTTTAAAAATACCAGAACCATTGCCAAAAGTGAACATTTTAATAACAGAATAATCAGAGAAGCCATCGAGATAGAAAAACGCCCACACAGCATGAACAAGCGAGATGATACCTCCCGCCTACCAGCCATTTGGAAACCCGCCCTTATTGACAAACGATCCCTAACACAAAAAATGATACCAGACCCACACTCACAAAAACCACACAGGATGTCACCACCACACATCCACGCAAAAAACAAACCCAAAGCCACACCGATGACGAGGCACGACCACAAACCAGAAGCCAGACCACAGCTGCATCATTAGCCACTTTAAACCCCTCCAATCCATACATGAAGCAAACTGACACCCTCCATGAAGAGGAGGCACGACCACGAACGCGAAGCCAAAAAATAGCAAGGCAGCCCAAAATCTTAAACCCCTCTGCAACTCAGACTAACCTGAGCACAATCAAACAGAACACTCCCCCAGCCAATCAGAGCACAGCCAAGCCCCTAACCATTCAGAACACACCTCCACCCAATCAGAACACAGCCAAGCTCCCACCCAATCAGTTCATACCCCCACTGGCAGTTAAAAGGAAGAAACAGCTAAGACCACACATTGCTGCTCAAAGCACGAAGCTGAAAACACCAGCCTGAAGATGACGAATGAGACTTCGTCGAAACGTTGCCAAGACACTTCCAATTTTACGCGGGAGAAAACCCGAACAACCAAAGACCTACATACAAATACCCGCGAAAACTTCAGAAAACACACACACACACACACACACACACACACACACACACACACAAATATATATATATATATATATATATATATATATATATATATATATATATGTAGGTCTTTGGTTGTTCGGGTTTTCTCCCACGTAAAATTGGAAGTGTCTTGGCGACGTTCAGCACCAGCCTGAAGATGAATGGGACTTCGTCGAAACGTCACCAAGACACTTCCAATTTTACGTGGGAGAAAACCCGAACAACCAAAGACCTACATACAAATACCCGCGAAAACCTTAGAAAACATATATATATATATATATATCCCACTATGTATGTATGTATGTATGTATGTATGTATGTATGTATGTATGTATGTATATGTAGGTCTTTGGTTATTCGGTTTTTCTCCCACGTAAAATTGGAAGTGTCTTAGCGACGTTTCGACGAAGTCTCATTCGTCATCTTCAGGCTGGTGCTTTTGGCTTCGTGCTTCTAGGAGCAAATTTGCTCCTAGAAGCACGAAGCATTTGCTCCTAGAAGCACGAAGCCGAAAGCACCAGCCTGAAGATGACGAATGAGACTTCGTCGAAACGTCGCCAAGACACTTCCAATTTTATGTGGGAGAAAACTCGAATAACCAAAGACCTACATACAAATACCCGCGAAAACCTCAGAATATATATATATATATATATCTCCCCCACCTTTATTTTTTACAAATAACTCAAGGTGGTGAACATATCCAACATATCCTCCTCCTCCTATTTTCTCCATAACAACAGTCCTGTGAGGTGAATTTTCTCCCTATAGATCAGGGGTGTCAAACGTGCAATGTCATGTGACGTGTCGTGACATATCATAACTTTTTTGCCATTGCTGGCAATGGGGTGGGCATGGTTTCGCTATGATGCATCTGGCCTGTGGGCCTGCAGTTTGACACCCTTGCTATAGATAATGGTTTTGGTCACAGACATAAACTTAACCATGATAAAACCATGGAGTAAGTAGAAAAGAAATAACAGGTAAGATGTGATAAACAAATCCCAGAATATTCACATCTTTAGGGGAAAGAAGAAATGGGAACACATAAGATGTTGTGTAAGGCTGAGTGTAAGAAATTAGAATGGATTTAGAAATAAAACTCTTCATGTGACAGAAAGAAGCAGTACGTTTGCAAATATTAGAAGATGGGAAGATTTCAATAGTAATGTGGCTTAAAATCTGATGGTTTCCCACCAAGATGTTTTGGGCAGAATAGCTAAAGAATGCCTGTCTGTTGAAAGTTAAAAAGGAAAATGGAAAAATGAAGGGTACTTCCCTTATTGAGTTCTTACTGCAGTGTCCAAATTTGGAATAGAGAGAGGCAAAATATAATAGGAATTTGTAAACATCAGTGAAGCTTGTTGTGGCTACACAGGTTGCCTCTCTGCACTTTGATCAATGGGTTGTTCCTTGTTAAGATGCCCCAAAGGCTTTCTGGCACAGGTACCGAGGTTATTAATTACAACAGTTTATAATGACATTAGCTCTAAAGAACCAAATCAAATCATGCAACTTTAGTTCCTAGGTGATCATTTTTTAATGCTATATGGTATTTCAAGAGAACGTTCTTTCTTATTCTAAATTAAGCCCAGCCCTACCATTTTGGCAGCAGAAATACTGTAATCCTTAAAGTAACAGGTCAAATATATGTAATTTGAATTAAATATGCATTCAATTATTGTCTATCTCAGGTAGCAGGATACTGTTAAGCAGTTGTTAGATTCTAACAGAATCCTTCAGTATATACTAGGATTTCTCTAATTTATTTATCTGGAAGCCCATTTTTATTACTTTTTATGCATAAAAAATGCAAATAAGCTTTTAAAGGGTCAGTTTCCTCTCTAATTAGGATGTTGACAACAACGTGGTGAAGGATAAAGAAAATAATTATTTGAATATTTTTCAAATATTGAAGGGCTTTTCTGTTTATTTAATAAAGACTGGTCTTGATCCATGGACTGCATTTAGGAAATGCTACGATTTATTAATAATCAAAGTCACTTTCTAAGTATTAGCCTTGAGATAACCAAATGGCATTGTGCAAATACCAAAAAGAAGGTGATGGTACATTTTGATAATTTGAATATAATAGGAGGAGAGCTGGATAAGATGGTAATGTGCAAACTTGCCCTGTTGATTTCCACCCATCCACTTTACTTAAAGTCTCCTCTAATGGTACCATGAGGAATCATTAGGCTAGGAAAAATGGCAAAATCTGAAGAACTTCTTAGAAAAAAATGTTTTAAAAATCCTCTACCAAATGGCCCATCTAATATGCTCAGTAATTCCTCCAAGCTGAGTGTTGGAGGAAAAATAGAATAACAGAGTTGGAAGGGGCCTTGGAGGTCTTCTAGTCCAACCCCCTGCTCAAGCAGAAGACCTTATACCATTTCAGACAAATGGTTGTCCAAACTCTTCTTAAAAGCCTCAAACTGGGGAGGGAAATGAAATGGAGTAGATTAAATGAAGACTATATTTTGGGGGGACACACATTCTGCTTTAGAGAAGCATTGAATGGGAAGTGGTGATACTCTCTTTCTTGCACTGTGTATGTACCCGATCCTGCTTTCCCCGATAGACAAACACAGAAAATGTAGGCTGGGGGAGAAACCTGTGAAGAAAGACAGTTTGCAAGAGAGTCACAATAAGTGGGAGAAAGGTTGGATACTCTCTCACAGGGATACCCTTCTTTTCTGCTTTCCAACTTTGATTATCGCTGAATGTCTGACCCTGTCAGCTTCCCCTCTGGGAGCTGTCTGACTTCATATGTACAACTAGTATTTGTTACAACCAGTTGTGTAGATGAATTCTGATCTTCCATCAGAGAAAGCACCATTTTGATACTGATCTGTATTTTCTCTTTCTGGACTAGGAGGAAGACTCTCTCCAAATTGAAGAAAAGATAAAGTGGGGAGATGGATTTGCAGTAGTTTATTCTGTCACTGACAGGTGTAGCTTTGATGAGGTGATGAGGCTGTGCTTTCTCATCAACCATATCCATTCTAGCCCAAAGCGGAACAGTGCTAGTGGAGAACCGCCGGTTGTGATTGTTGGAAACAAGAAGGACCTACAATTTGACCGAATGGTAACCTTTGAGGATGGAGAAAATCTCTCCAAGGCTCTGAAGCATCCTTTCTATGAGATCTCTACCAGGGACAGTTATGAAGAGACTGTGATGGTCTTCAACACCCTATATGGTGAGCTGATGAAGCAAGGGCACTTTTCCCCAGGGTCCTTCAAGAGGCGAGCATCATCTAAATTAATGGAAAAGATTCCTAAAATTCATGCCAATTCAAGTTTAACTTCAGCAGGCAGGAGTCTCAGCTTCAATTCATTCAGGGACTACATCCCAGAGTGAACATTTGTCTAAGCTGTTGTACAGTGATGTTCAAAGTACACAGAGCCAGTTCGAGATAACAAGGGAGAGGTTGCAGAATTCGTAGCACAAAGGGCAAGAGGCCTGCACGTTGTTAGGAAAGCTTTTTTTTTTTAAAAAAAAATTCCATCAAAATTGGAGTATCTGAGTTTGATCCTTAGCTGATAGCACAAGGCTATGTGATGCAACAGAATAACTTACTGGATGATACCAATGGACAATCTGTACCTGAATTTTTATTTCCAAAACATATTTCTGAAAATCCAACCCAAAATTAATGATTCTTCCCCCCCCGTTATTGTCTCCTAACAATTAATATTCACAGTCAATAATAGTAGCCTACAATCTCTGGCCCAAGGGGTTCCATTTAGCCAATGTTTCCAGTATATTTCACTTGGCCTATTCCACATATCCTCCCCTATGAATTTGTTTCTTCCATTTTAAACTAATTGAAGCCAGTAGCCATCTTAATGGCAGAAAATTCTAAAAGTAAGTGAGTTGTGGCGTGTTCTCATGTAGAGTCTTTTGAATTTGGATTTAAGAGCACTGTGAAGCACCATTGGGTTGGGCCCTTTTTATTTTCCCTTCAACAAGAAAAGCAGTCAACTAAATGTCTTTGCAAATGGGAATTCAGGTGCTGAATTCAACAATCGCTGAGCCGTGTTAAATGTTGATCTATCTTTTATGTGGTTTACAACAGGGGTTGAAAAGGTCTTAGATATACTGTTATCTCTCTGGTTCTTACTATTGATCTGTTTTTTCCAACAAGAATATTATATGTGCATCTTTTACAGACTGATTAAGACCATTGTTATTATTTGTTTTGGATGGATGCAGTAAAAACCACCCTTAATTTAGTCAAATATACTTAGGCCACTGAAAATGCTGGCTTGATCTATAGGCCTGAGTAAAAAGGGTGCTTTATTTGCATAAGAAGGTATAGTGAGATCAGTCTTTGTGGCCAGAGGGAAGAGGTGAATTCAGAGAACGGGGCAAGTTTACAGGATCCTACAACTTAGTATTTAAATGCTTATTAAGTCTACTGCCAGGAAATTCCAGGTACTCTTTACCAGAGTAATTTGAATTCAGATAATTTAGGTGCTGTGGATAACAGGAGCCAAGAATGTGTTCATCTGCCTCCCCACTTTTCAGATTGTGCTTGAAAATGTGAAAATATGAAGCTGCCTCATGGGAAGGTCCTTCTAGCCTATGAGTTTCTAGTTGGACAGATGGGAACTCTTTAACATCTCAGGTTCACTGTTCCTTGAGAAGCTTTGGCAAATAACATGTTCCTTATTTAAAGAAAAATAACTGGAGAAATGCTTGAAGCATATATAATTTGCCACAGATCTACTGTCCCTCTTCAAGCTATTTTTTTCCCCTCTGGGAGCTTCATCTACTAGGCCGATGCATTGCTCAGACTCCCAGGCACCTGCTGTTTTGGAGGGCGAGATGACAGATTAGTTGATTCAGTTTGTTCCCTAAGGCTCCTACGTGGCTTCTCTGCATTGGAAAACAGCCGCCTGCTCACTACCTACTACTCACTTCTTTACAGTGGTTGGTGTGGCTTCTTTGCCATGCAGCACACAGAAACAAAAAGATCTGTGTCTTAAACATGCAGATATTTTACATACACACTAAGGGATGCTCTGTATTTCTAAAAATAATAAATATGTCTGTACTAATTTCTCTGGCTCTTGATTCTTATCTAAACCAGCTAGTTCTCAAGTTGGAGACAGAGGTTTTGGGTGTGCATTTGCTTTGACACTGTGTGGCTTTACGGTTACAATTTGCTTTGTAGAATTATTATACTTACTATTAACTAAAATCTCTATCTATGGAGAAGGAATAAGCATATGTATTTTAACATACACACTTTGGGAATGTTACAGAGATCATGAAAAAAGAATGAAAATGTAATAAATCAATAAATGAGAAATTAAGTAAAGCAGCCTTATCCAAATAGTAGTTAGATGCCAGAATTCTGGTTACTGAGTGTATAGCTATGCTAGGACCCAGATTCTTAAAAACATCTAGTTAATGTGCACAACTTTTTATTATGATCAAAATTTCACTGCCTCCATTCTGAGGTATTTCATGGACTGCTGTCCACAATAGCATAAAAATTATGTGTACAGCATCATAACATGCATTTTGTTTAATTGCACATTTCAGAGATTCTTGAATGGTTCCCATAAAAACTATTTCTAGCCTTTGAGTGAAAGAATCTTCCAGATCCAGATATTTTCCATTTCAGTCATGCCATTCGCACTAATCCTTTGTTGCTTCAGTGGAAATAAGGAAATCTCATATGCTATCAAGCCCATCCTGCTGGTGGCATAAATAAGGAAAAGAATTGATGCTTTTGTTATCATATCTGGGAGCTGTCAATTAGTAATTTGATTTAAAAGCTCAACAAAGCTCCCTTTGTTAAACAGTGTCATTTGACTGGATCCGAGAAGTGGCCCTTCTCTATTGCAATGGTGGTCCTCTGGAACAGGGGTCTGCAACCATGACAACTTGAAGACTTGTGTACTTCAGCTCCCAGAATTCCTCAGCCAGCTATGCTGGCTGAGGAATTCTGGGAGCTGAAGTACACAAGTCTTCAAGTTGTCGAGGTTGCAGACCCCTGTTATGGAACACCACTATTCTAAGGGTGCCTATGGCTCCATTGTGATGGTATTTCAAATGTCTGTGAAAATCTGCCAAGCCTTGGGGAAGGGTGGGTGTTGAGCCTATTGGTTGTTTTTCTTTATATTGATTTTTTCCCCCTTTATACACACAAGGTTCTTTTTCTGTGTTTCATGTTTGTTTTTTTTTCTTTTAAAATTCTAAGCTGCCCATAGTCATCTGGAATAGGTGACTTCTACCTGTCATAAAACAATAAAGTTGCACTTAAATCCCATTGAAATCAGTCTGAAAAACTAGTTAATAATCTTTCATATTGATTTTAATTGAACCCATATGCAAATAATTAATAATGGGCTGTTATGTGCGTGCTTATTTCACTTATTTTTATAGGATGAATGAGTAAAATAAAACAGAAATAAACCCTTTTATTATTATTGCTCCAGGTTAACAGTAAAAGTGAACATAGTATTTATCTTCTGTAGTTTTTAGCTCAGTAATAATGATGGGGGTTAGAGGTCTGGCTCCCTCCTCCCCTTTCTTCCAAAGTAATCAAAGAAAATGTAAATATGAAATACTGTAGATGTTTATTCAGAGGAATAGCAAATGAATCATCAGTGCAGGTCTCAGAAAATAAAGAGAAACACTGTTCCATTTTTTAAAGTCTGGAAGCATTAGTTGTTATGTTCCCAATTTGTAATATATGCTTGTAAATGGATGTTTCTGCAATATAATATTATATCTCTGTCTGCTGTTTGGGAATTTTATCTTTCTCAGACAAGTGTCTGAAAAGCGTATTCGAATTTAGATATTGTTTCCACGTGAGAAAGCTGTCAGTAAAAAAAATATTTTAATCTGCTAGGCATAGGGAATATTTAAAGATAATTACACTTGATTGATATTCTGTGTTTTTTTAAATATTTGTTTCTCCTAATTCAATGGGAAAAGAACTATAGAGCTATATAATTTCACGCAACCTTATTACAGCAATACCAAATGTAGCGTTCTTCTACAGTTTATTTTATTATTAAATTTGTATGCTGTCTGGCTCCCTATGATTCTTCTGTCTAGGTTGGCCCTGGTAAATGCTTGGATGCAAAACCATCTAGGAAGTCCATAATTGGAGATTCTAGTATCCCTAATCTTTAAAGATTCTGGATGAGTCATGTCACAACCAGAATTCTGTTACATCTGCAGTGTATTCATCACCACATTCTTGGTGGTATTAATTGGTGACTTCATCTGTAGGTCATAGTATTCTGATATTACTGAGTGCTGAAGAACCATTCTATTTCTTGTGCATAATTCAGGGAGAAAATAAAAAGAGGTATGATTTCACTAAGTTGATTGTTGCTCTCCTCACAAATTGTATTAATGGTTTTTTATTTGCTTTTACCAATTTATGATGTGTGCTGCCCACAGAGTTGCTTGTTGAAATGGGCAGCTATAGAAAACAAATAAATAAGACCTCACATGTAATGGACCCAAAGTAATTTTTCAGGGAGCTATGGAAGCAATTTTGAAAGTTCATGCAGAGAAGGTTCAAAACAGTCTGAAGAGATGGGTCAACCTCTCAAACAAACTAAAAAAGCTTGTTGCTTTACTTCAAAAATCTCTAGTGAAAGGCAGCTTTTGTTTACATGGCTGAATATCACAGTTTTCAAGTTCTCTTTTATGACATTAGGATTTATTTAACTCCTTTAAATATAGAAAGTTTACAAGTGACTTCCTTTTTGCTAAGCTATGCAGGGAATTCCTTGATACACTGCCTGATTGCTATTGACTCATTTTAGTGTTGATACATCCTCAAATGGCCATCTTGGCCTTAAGACCAAACCTGTCGTTTTGTCAGAGATTGGAAACCTCCAGATGTATGTGTGTATGTGCTGTCATTGGGACAGTTATCTAAGTGCGCACTGAGTAGAAGACTAGACTAGAAGACCTCCAAAGTTCCTTCCAGCTCCATTCTATTCTGAGTAGAAGGAGGGATCCCAATTGCAGCAGGATTGGATTATCATATTTTGAAGAAAGTGAAATAATATAAATCAGGTATCATTACAAAAAGATGAGGGGAATTAACAGAAAATTAAATTGAGTCCATAATTACCTAAAAGAATCCAACTATATTCTATGTGTACATTCTCCGCAATTATTCTGCTCTGACAGTTCATGCAAATATATTCCTGTACTTAAACTTCTAATGAATCTAAACAATACCAATCTGAAATAAACAGAGACTAGTACTATGGGCTTGCAGTGAATGATGCTAAGATATGTTTTGTGAAGCAACTGCATTTTACAAGGAGAACTTTTCCTAAGTAAAGAAAGCAACTGCTCTGCTAAGATGATAGGAAAAATAAAATTTTGGCAGCTATGAATAATGATATTCCTATTAGCTGAATTCAACTGCAATTCACACAACTGAGAAGATGTGAAATCACAGCGATAATTTCAGTAGCAGTCAATTTGGGAAGGGCATTATAGCCACACTCCAACTATAGGAAGAAGTTGAAGGGAGACAGTGGCAGAAAAGCTTCTATTTGTTTTCTGTCATCTAATCTAGTTTAACGAAGAGAAGGACAAGGGGGGACATGATAGCAGTATTCCAATATCTCAGGGGCTGCCATAAAGAAGAGGGAATTAAGCTATTTTCCAAAGCACCTGAAGGCAGGACAAGAAGCAACGGGTGGAAACTAATCAAGAGAGAAGCAACCTAGAACTAAGGAGAAACTTCCTGACAGTGAGAACAATTAATCAGTGGAACAGCCTGCCTCCAGAAGCAGTAAATGCTCCAACACTGGAAGTTTTTAAGAAGAGACTGGACAGCCATTTGTCCGAAATGGTGTAGGGTTTCCTGCCCAAGCAGGGGGTTGGACTAGATGACCTCCAAGGTCCCTTCCAACTTTACTACTACTATTATTATTATCTTTCTGTAATCACCTTCTGCCTCAGAGGAAACAAAAGTTGGATTGTGCAAAAAAAAAAAACCTGCTGTTGTTGACAACCATTATGCCATATGTATACATTCCTTAGGGAATAACAACCTTGTTTTTCAAAATTCAAGGACAAGAATTTGCTGCTAGGAATGTTAATGATGATCTTTTTCCTTTTTATGTTCTTCTCAACTCTGACAAAAGACATTGTGTAAGCCCAGCCATCTCTCCTCAGGCCAGCATGACCAATTCCCAAAAGTACATTCCCCAAAGCCATTGCAAGAAGACCAAATGATTCATGGGTATATATAACTCCAGATTTTGCCTTCATTCAGCTACTAATTCAAGACCCCATTATGTCTCTGGAGATAAAGATTAAAAACAAACAAAACAAACTTGCATGGAAGGCAAGTTACCTTCTACTACACACATGCACAGGCTGACTGGCTTCATGTACTGCTAACTTACAACGTAGTTCAATTTTTTTTCTGGCTTAGGAGCTAATCATAATGATTTATTAACAATGGTTTATGACTTATGTAAAAACCCAGCCAATTGCAAATTATTAAAAAAAAACCACGGGTTACTTTATTTTGTATTTATTTGTAAAATTTATGTAATTCTCATTGTTCAGTATGTAAACCCAATCACTCTGTGACAATATACCTGTTCACTCATGTGCAAACACACAGCATCAGTTGGCGGTGTGACAGTCCTCTAAAAAGAAACTGAAATGTCATCATTGTTCATTGTCTTTCTTTCACAGTCCTTTGTGGTCTGCATTTTAAACCAAAAGCCAGTTCAACTTTCAAGCTTCTTTCAAATGTCAAAGGATTATTTGTTCCGTTCTTGACTATAATTAGTAAAAAAAAAAAAAAACCTGACTTGGGCTAAGTTGCAGTATTGAAAAATATCAATCAGCATTTGCTGGCAAGATTACTCAGCCTATTAATATTCTAATCTGCTTATATTATGATCTCTCCATCACAGGAAACTCTGAAGCCAAATATCTTTAAGTTCTAATCTATATCTTGTGGGTCTGACTAGCTTGTAACAAACCAATTGCATTCTTCCACTAGCCTCTTCTGTGGCACTACTTGTGCCTTGCCTTGTGGTTGTACGCAATATTGTCCATTTGAAAAAAAAAAAATCAACAACTCAGAGCCTATACAGATTTTGCAACAAACTCCTGGTGGTTTGTTGGCAATTTCTTACCACTTATTTTTAGATCATACTGAAGAGGGCAAGTGGTTGCCTTAAGAAAGGGGACAACTTGGGAACTATTCTTACATCAGCAATGGACACTGTGTGACCTACTCTAGAGTTGCTGGTAATAATTCACAACAGTCACAGTCACTAAGGCCAACTGCAGTCCAGCAACACCTGTGAGGGCCAAAGTTGCCTTTGCCTATATCAGGGGTAGGCAACCCAAAACACTTAAAGAGCCACTTGGACCCATTTCCCACCAAAAACAAAACACTGGGAGCCGCAAAACCATTTTGATATCTAAAATGAAGATAACACTGCATATATCCTTTTTTACCTTTATTATAGGTGTGTGTGTGTTTGTGTGTGTGTGTGTATGTGTGTGTGTGTATATATATGTATATGTATGTATGTATATATATATATATATACATACACACACACACAGGTAAAAAAGGATATATGCAGTGTTATCTTCATTTTAGATGTCAAAAGGGTCTCTCTCTCTCTCTCCCTCTCTATCTGCCCTTGGTCTGCCACTCCTCTTCCCCGCTCTCTTTCTTTCTCTCTCTCTCTTTCCTCTCTCTCTCTCTCTCCCTCTCTCTCTTTCTCTCTCTCTCTCTCTCTCTCCCCCCCCTCCTATCTGCTGCTCACCTGACAAGCTTCAGGCTGTTGTCCAACAAGATCAGGGGTAGTCAACCTCGTCTCTTTTATGACTCATGGACTTCAACTCCCAGAATTCCTGAGTCAGCCTAGCTGGGCTAGCTAGCTCCCTCCTGCCCTTCCTGCTTCCTGCAGAGACGCAGCAAAGGGAGGAGCTCCGCCCAATAAGCTTTTCAGCTCCTCGGAGAATACTGTGAGTGCACTCTCTTTTACACAAAACCACACACACACACACACACACACACACACACACACACACACACAGAGAGAGAGAGAGAGAGAGAGAGAGAGAGAGAGAGAGAGAGAGAAGCAGGGAAGCGCAATTCCTCTCTCTGTCTCTGTCTCTCTCTGCAAAGGCAGAGGAGGCTGGGAGCCGCAGGGGAAGGCTCAAAGAGCCACATGCGGCTCCGGAGCCGCAGGTTGCCGACCTGTGGCCTATATCATAGGAATTGGCTTCCATGAACTGAAGTGTTTCTCAATCTTGACAACTTTAAGATGTGTGGACTTCAACTCCCAGAATTCTCCAGCCAGCATCTTAAAGTTACTGACATTGAGAAACACTGATATACTAAATTCACCTATCATACAATGCCATGATTTTTTTTAAACTGTGACCTGTAAAGCAAACAACAACTTGCTTCACAGAAAACATTAAGTCATGATTCATAGTAAATAAACTGGAGTGGTTAGCTTCAAGCATAAGGTGGCCTACAGGTAGTTCTGGGGTTTAGAACATCCAACTTAAAGACAACCCCTAAATACAAACATGGCAGCCTATTACAAAATGGGGGACAGCCGACCTGTTACAGTGCTTAATATGGTGATTGGCTCACTTAATATGATGATTGATCCAACTCAAAATGATGGTCAACATTCTTCTTGAGTCGACAATCCACTGAAGCAACGCAATACTTTCATGAGTGTCACAAAGTACCATTCGCATTTTTAAATAGAGTATGCTGTTTGTATTCAACAGTTGAATCATGAAAGCATTGCATGGTTTCAGTAATTCATACGCTCAAGGAAGGAGAATGCCATCTGCCATCCAGAGTTGGAACACTTTGCCTTCAGGATGGTGAGGGTTTAAATTCCAATGGATTCTCCTTAAATTGGGCTCTCCTTGCTGAAAAGTCTATGTCCCCTATAACTTGGTTTTAATGTATAAAACCTAAAATTAAAAGTTTAAACTTTACAAAAAGTTTATAAACAACTTTGTTGTTGTTCATCCATGATATGTGGACATGCAGGTACACTAACCTCTTCCAAATTAAATACAGTTTAGGTTAAAGACAGAATTAGGGAACAAAACTCATTCTTTATCCAGGGATTACCTGTTTCATGTGAAAGGTCAACTCAGCCTAAGGAATGGAACAATAATTTTTCATTATTGCACACTGTATACTGTAGATGTGAAGAGTAAAATGTTAATAAATCTGGTCTACTGAGTTATCAGCGATATAACCTA